CCCCCCCCCATTCCCCCCCAGTCCCCCCCATCCCCCCCCATTCCCCCCCATTCCCCCCCATTCCCCCCATACCCGCCAGGCGCAGCCGGAAGCGCCTCCTCGCCGTTCCCAGTTGGCTCCGCCCCACGCACTCCACCATTCCCAGTGTCCCGTTGCCGTCCCAGTACCCGGCATGGGCCTGGTCCCAGTTCAGGTACTGGGAGGGGGCCCGGGCCCACAACTGGGCCCAGTTCAGGGCCTGGGAGCGGAGCCGGGCCCGATCCTGGCTGATGTTGGCCACGGTCAGGAGGGCGCTGGTCCAGGGGGGGTCCGACCATTGGAGCTGCTGGAACCTGGTGGGGGGGGGAGACCATTGGGTCCATTGGGTGCCATTGGGTGCAGTTGAGTACCATTGGGTCCATTGGGTGCCATTGGGTGCCATTGGGTCGATTGGGTGCCATTGGGTGCCATTGGGTCCATTGGGTGCCATTGGGTCCATTGGGTGCCATTGGGTCCATTGGGTGCCATTGGGTGCCATTAGGTCGATTGGGTGCCATTGGGTGCCATTAGGTGGATTGGGTGAAATTGGGTCGATTGGGTGCCATTGGGTGCCATTAGGTCCATTGGGTGCCATTGGACGCCATTGGGTCCATTGGGTGCCATTGGGTGCCATTGGGTCAATTGGGTGCCATTGGGTACCATTGGGTGCCATTGGGTCGATTGGGTGCCAATGGGTACCATAAGGTGCCACTGGGTGCCATTGGGTGCCATTAGGTCCATTGGGTGCCATTGGGTACCATTAGGTCGATTGGGTGCCATTGGGTACCATTGGGTCCATAGGGTGCCATTGGGTACCATTGGGTACCATTGGGTCCATAGGGTGCCATTGGGTACCATTGGGTCCATAGGGTGCCATTGGGTACCATTGGGTCCATAGGGTGCCATTGGGTACCATTGGGTACCATTGGGTCCATAGGGTGCCATTGGGTACCATTGGGTCCATAGGGTGCCATTGGGTACCATTGGACGCCATCGGGTACCATTGGGCACCATTGAGCGCCATTTGGCGCCATGGTTCCCATTGGGTACCATTGGGTGCCATTGGGTCCCATTGAGCACCATTGAGTGCCATTGGGCGCCATGGGTCCCATTGGGTGCCATTGGACACCATTGGGTGCCATGGGTCCCATTGGGTGCCGTTGGCACCATTGGGTTCCATTGGGTCTCATTGGGTGCCGTTGGGCGCCATTGGGTGCCCTCAGGTACCTGCTGTCCGTGGTGCTGATGGGGCGGCCCCCTTGCTCCCAGTGCAGCTCCACGGGGGGCACCCCCCGCGCCCGGCACCCCACGGCCACGGCATCGGCTCCATCCGGAACCAGCACCGGGATTGGCTCCGGCGCCGGCGCCGCCTCCAGCTCCGGCCCATCTGGGAATGGGGGGCAATGGGGGTGCCCTCCATTGACCCCCCATTGGGTGCTCTCCATTGACCCCCATTGGGTGCCCTCCATTGACCCCCATTGGGTGCCCTCCATTGACCCCCCATTGGGTGCTCTCCATTGAACCCCATTGGGTGCCCTCCATTGACCCCCATTGGGTGCCCTCCATTGACGATCCCCATTGGTTGACCCCCATTGAGTGCCCCCCTTCCATTGATGACCCCATTGGCTGCCCCCCGCATCGATGCCCCCCATCACTCCCACCCCATTGGCCACCCTCCATTCCACCCCACCCCCCACTTCCCCATTGGCTGCCTGTCCCTTGGCCCCGCCCCACTCACAGCGAATCACGAGGCGGATGACGGCGCGGGCGGGGGGCGGCACCCCCGTGTCCACGTGACACTCGTAGGCCCCGCCCATGTCCCGACGGGCGCCCGACACCCGCAGCCGCCCCACGGGGACCCCGCCGAGCGCCTCCAGCCCCACGGGGAGCCCCACGGAGCCTGGAGACAGCGCCCCCTGGTGGCGGGGAGGAATGTGGGCATGGAAGGGTCCCATTGGGTCCCATTGGATCCCGTTGGGTCCCGTTGGGTCCCGTTGGATCTCATTGGGTCCCATTGGGTCCCATTGGATCCCATTGCATCCCATTGAGTCCCGTTGGGTCCCATTGGGTCCCATTGGATCCCGTTGGGTCCCGTTGGGTCCCGTTGGATCTCATTGGGTCCCATTGGGTCCCATTGGATCCCATTGCATCCCATTGAGTCCCGTTGGGTCCCATTGGGTCCCATTGGATCCCGTTGGGTCCCGTTGGATTCTGTTGGGTCCCATTGGATCCCGTTGGATCCCGTTGGGTCCCATTGGATCCCATTAGGTCCCATTGGGTCCCATTGGATCCCATTGGATCCCATTGGGTCCCGTTGGTTCCCGTTGGATCCCATTGGATCCCATTGGGTCCTGTTTGATCCCATTGGGTCCCATTGAATCCCGTTGGATTCCGTTGGGTCCCATTGGATCCCATTGGGTCCCGTTGGATCCCATTGAGTCCCGTTGGGTCCCATTGGGTCCCGTTGGGTCCCTGCCCCATAGCCCACGCCCCACATCCCATAATAAGCCGTATCCCACCAGGCGCTGCCATCGGAGACTCCCGTCCAGCAGGGGGCGCCCTTCCGCCTCGCACTCCATCTCTACGCTCCCCCCTTCGTCCACCACCACGGGGTCGGGCGCCCGCACGATGGAGGGGGGGTCTGGGTGGGGGTCAAAGGTCAAGGTCAGGGTGCTATAGGGTGCCATAGGTGCTGTAGGTGCTATAGGGTGCTAAAGGATGGTATAGGTGCTATAGGGTGCTATAGGGATGCTATAGGGTGCTATAGGGATGCTGTAGGGTGCTATAGGGTGCCATAGGTGCTATAGGGTGCTATAGGGAGCTAAAGGATGGTATAGGTGCTATAGGGATGCTATAGGGATGCTATAGGGTGCTATAGGGATGCTGTAGGGTGCTATAGGGTGCCATAGGTGCTATAGGGTGCTATAGGGAGCTAAAGGATGGTATAGGTGCTATAGGGATGCTATAGGCCCTATAGGGATGCTATAAGGTGCTATAGGTCGCCATAGGGATGCTATAGGCATGCCATAGGTCCCCATGGGATACCATAGGGACGCTATAGGGATGCCACAGAGATGCCATAGGGATGCAATAGGGATGCTATGGGGTGCCATAGGGATGCTATGGGGTGCTATAGGGATGCTATGGGGTGCCATAGGGATGCTATAGGATGCTATAGGGCAACATAGAGCTGCTATGGGATGCTATAGGATTCTATAGGGCAACATAGAGGTGCTATAGGATGCCATAGGGAAGCTATAGGGCTCCATAGGGATGCTATGGGGTGCCATAGGGATGCTATAGGGCGCCATAGGGATGCTATAGGGCACCATAGGGGTGCTAGAGGGTGCCATAGGGGTGCTATGGGGGTGCTATAGGACACCATAGGGGTGCTATGGGGGTGCCATAGGGGTGCTATAGGGCGCCATGGGGGTGCTATGGGGTGCCATAGGGATGCCGTGGGGTGCTATGGGGCGCCATGGGGCTCACATTCCACGTCGAGGAGGACGCTGGCGCTGCCCTTGCCCTCGGCGTTCGCGCACTCCACCCGGTAGGAGCCGGCGTCGCTCCGGGACAGGTTCCCGATGGACAGCGAGCCCCCCGGGAGCAGCCGGTGCCGCGGCGACGGCGCTGGGGGCACCCGGCACCCAGAGGCACCCATTGGATCCCATAGAGACCCATGGCACCCATTGGATCCCAGAAAGACCCAAAGGATCCCATTGAACCCCATTGGATCCCATAGAGACCCATTGGATCCTATTGAACCCCATTGGATCCCATAGAGACCCATGGCACCCATTGGATCCCAGAAAGACCCATTGGATCCCATAGAGACCCATTGGATCCTATTGAACCCCATTGGATCCCATAGAGACCCATTGGATCCCATAGAGACCCATTGGATCCCATTGAACCCCATTGGATCCCATAGAGACCCATGGCACCCATTGGATCCCAGAAAGACCCATTGGATCCCATTGAACCCCATTGGATCCCATAGAGACCCATGGCACCCATTGGATCCCAGAAAGACCCATTGGATCCCATAGAGACCCATTGGATCCTATTGAACCCCATTGGATCCCATAGAGACCCATGGCACCCATTGGATCCCAGAAAGACCCATTGGATCCCATTGAACCCCATTGGATCCCATAGAGACCCATGGCACCCATTGGATCCCAGAAAGACCCATTGGATCCCATTGAACCCCATTGGATCCCATAGAGACCCATGGGACCCATTGGATCCCATTGGTCCCATTGGATCCTATAGAGACCCATGGGACACATTGGATCCCATAGAGAGCCATTGGATCCCATAGAGACCCATTGGATCCCATTGAACCCCATAGAGACCCAAGGGAGCCCATTGGACCCCATTGAATCCCGTAGAGACCCATGGGACACATTGGATCCCATAGAGAGCCATTGGATCCCATAGAGACCCATTGGATCCCATTGAACCCCATAGAGACCCAAGGGAGCCCATTGGACCCCATTGAATCCCGTAGAGACCCATGGGACACATTGGATCCCATAGAGACCCATTGGATCCCATTGGACCCCATCCCCATTATATCCCGTTGGATCCCATTATAACCCTATTGGATCCCATTGGATCCCATTGGATCCCACTATAACCTCATTATATCCCATTGGATCTCATTGGATTCCATTATACCCCATTATATCCCACTCGATCCCATTGGATCCCATTATAATCCATTATAACCCCATTATCCCCCATTACCCCCATTATAACCCCATTATCCCCCATTATAACCCCATTATAACCCATTATAACCCCATTATAACCCCATTATAACCCCATTATGCCCCATTATAACCCCATTACCCCTCATTACCCCCATTATAACCCCATTATAACCCCATTATGCCCCATTATAACCCCATTATCCCCCATTATAACCCCATTACCCCCCCATTATAACCCCATTATCCCCCATTACCCCCCATTATAACCCCATTATAACCCCATTACCCCCCATTATAACCCCATTATAACCCCATTATAACCCCATTATAACCCCATTATAACCCCATTACCCCCCATTATAACCCCATTATAACCCCATTACCCCCCATTATAACCCCATTATAACCCCATGTAATAACCCCATTATAACCCCATTATCCCCCATTATAACCCCATTATAACCCCATTATAACCCCATTATCCCCCATTATAACCCGTTTCTATTATAACCCCATTACCCCATTATAACCCCATTATCCCCCATTACCCCCCCATTATAACCCCATTATAACCCCATTACCCCCCATTATAACCCCATTATAACCCATTATAACCCCATTATCCCCCATTATAACCCATTATAACCCCATTATAACCCCAGTTATAACCCCATTATAACCCCATTACCCCCCATTATAACCCCATTATAACCCCATTATAACCCCATTACCCCCCATTATAACCCCATTATAACCCCATTATCCCCCATTATCCCCCATTATAACCCCATTACCCCCCATTATAACCCCATTATAACCCCATTATAACCCCATTATAACCCCATTATAACCCCATTACCCCCCATTATAACCCCATTATAACCCCATTATAACCCCATTACCCCCCATTATAACCCCATTATAACCCCATTATCCCCCCATTATCCCCCATTATAACCCCATTACCCCCCATTATAACCCCATTATAACCCCATTATAACCCCATTATAACCCCATTACCCCCCATTATAACCCCATTATAACCGCATTATCCCCCATTACCCCCCATTATAACCCCATTATAACCCCATTATAACCCCATTATCCCCCATTACCCCCCATTATAACCCCATTATAACCCCATTATAACCCCATTATAACCCCATTACCCCCCATTATAACCCCATTATAACCCCATTATAACCCCATTATAACCCCATTATCCCCCATTATAACCCCATTATAACCCATTATAACCCCATTATCCCCCATTATAACCCCATTATAACCCCATTATAACCCCATTATAACCCCATTACCCCCCATTATAACCCCATTATAACCCCATTATCCCCCATTATCCCCCATTATAACCCCATTACCCCCCATTATAACCCCATTATAACCCCATTATAACCCCATTATAACCCCATTACCCCCCATTATAACCCCATTATAACCCCATTATAACCCCATTATAACCCCATTATCCCCCATTATAACCCCATTATAACCCATTATAACCCCATTATCCCCCATTATAACCCCATTATAACCCCATTATAACCCCATTACCCCCCATTATAACCCCATTATAACCCCATTATCCCCCATTATCCCCCATTATAACCCATTATAACCCCATTATCCCCCATTATAACCCCATTATAACCCCATTATAACCCCATTATAACCCCATTACCCCCCATTATAACCCCATTATCCCCCATTATAACCCCATTATAACCCCATTATAACCCCATTATAACCCCATTATAACCCCATTATCCCCCATTATAACCCCATTATAACCCCATTATAACCCCATTATCCCCCATTATAACCCCATTATAACCCCATTATAACCCCATTATAACCCCATTATAACCCCATTACCCCCCATTATAACCCCATTATCCCCCATTCCCCCCCATAGCGCACCCATGCGGACGCCGGCGCGGCTCCAGGCGCAGTCGCGGGGGGGGGGATGCGCGTCCCCGAGCAGCGGCAGCAGCGCCCGGCCCTGCTCCCGAGCCAGCACCCGGCCCCCGGGGGGCGCGCGGAGCAATGGGGGGTCTGGGGGGGGGGAGGCATTGGCACCCATTGACCCCCATTGACACCCATTGAGAGCCATTGACATCCATTGATACCCATTGACACCCATTGACACCCATTGACACCCATTGAGAGCCATTGACATCCATTGACATCCATTGCTACCCATTGAGAGCCATTGACATCCATTGACACCCATTGACACCCATTGACTCCCATTGACACCCAGTGACACCCATTGACACCCATTGACACCCATTGACACCCACTGACACCCATTGACACCCATTGAGAGCCATTGACACCCATTGACACCCACTGACACCCACTGACACCCATTGACACCCATTGACACCCATTGATACCCATTGATACCCATTGACACCCATTGATACCCATTGACTCCCATTGAGAGCCATTGATACCCATTGACATCCATTGATACCCATTGACTGCCATTGACTCCCATTGACACCCATTGACACCCATTGGCACCCATTGACCCCTATTGATACCCATTGACCCCCATTGACCCCCATTGACCCCCATCGCCCCCCACCGCCCCCCCCCACTCACGCCTCACGCTCAATCTGTGCCCGGCTCTCACGGTGACGCCGAGGGCGGGGCTGGCGGCCGCGCAGGTGATCACGTGACCCTGGTCCTCCAGCGCCACCTGCAGGCGGAGCCGCGACCCCACCGAGACCCCCCCGTGGGGGGCGGGGCTGGGGGGGAGGGGCTCCCCCGGCTCCCTGCCATAGGGGTCAATGGGGGCCCATAGGGGTCAATGGGGGGCCCATAGGGGTCAATGGGGGGGCAAATAGGGGTCAATGGGGGGGCTCATAGGGGTCAATGGGGGCCCATAGGGGTCAATGGGGGCCCATAGGGGTCAATGGGGGGGCAAATAGGGGTAAATGGGGGGGTCTATGGGGATCTATGGGGGGCTATGGGGTCTATGGGTGGCTATGGGGTCTACGGAGTGTATGGGGGCTATGGGGTCTATGGGAGTCAAGGGGGGACTGTGGGGAGCTATGGGGGTCTTTAGGAGGCTATGGGGGTCTGTGGGGGACTATGGGGGTCTATGGGGGTCTGTGGGGGACTATGGGGTCTATGGGGGTCAATGGGCCTCTATGGGGCTCTATGGGGTGTATGGGGCTCCATGGGCTCTATGGGGTCAATGGGCCTCTATGGGGCTCTATGGGGTCAATGGGGCTCTATGGGGTCCATGGGGTCTATGGGGCTCTATGGGGCTCTATGGGGTCAATGGGGCTCTATGGGGCTCTATGGGGTCAATGGGGCTCTATGGGGCTCTATGGGGTCAATGGGGCTCTATGGGGTCTATGGGGTCTATGGGGCTCTATGGGGCTCTATGGGGTCAATGGGGCTCTATGGGGTCTATGGGGTCCATGGGGCACCCACGTGTGTCCGTGGTGGTGCCAGGTGAGGGTGGGGGCGGGGTGGCTGCTCCCGGTGACGCAGGTGAGGAGCAGGCGCTGGCCCAGGCGGGGCTCCCGGGGGGAGGCGCTGATGGAGACGGACTGGGGGGGGACTGCGGGCAGAGAGACCCATAGGGACCCATAGGGACCCATAGAGACCATAGAGACCATAGAGACCATAGGGACCCATAGGGACCCATAGAGACCCATAGAGACCATAGAGACCATAGAGACCATAGGGACCCATAGAGACCATAGAGACCATAGAGACCCATAGAGACCCATAGGGACCCATAGAGACCCATAGAGACCATAGAGACCCATAGAGACCCATAGAGACCATAGAGACCATAGGGACCCATAGAGACCCATAGGGACCTATAGAGACCCATAGAGACCCATAGAGACCATAGAGACCATAGGGACCCATAGAGACCCATAGGGACACATAGAGACCCATAGAGACCCATAGGGACACATAGAGACACATAGAGACCCATAGAGACCATAGAGACCATAGGGACCCATAGAGACCCATAGAGACACATAGAGACCCATAGAGACCCATAGAGACCCATAGGGACCCATAGAGACCCATAGAGACCCATAGAGACCCATAGGGACCTATAGAGACCCATAGAGACCATAGAGACCCATAGAGACCATAGAGCCCCATAGAGCCCATAGAGCCCCATAGAGCCCCAGTGAAGCCCACAGAGGCGCACAGAGGACGCGGAGCCGGGCTCCGGCGCGGGGCGCCCCCTGCTGGTGGGCGGTGTCAGCGCAGGTGAAGGCGGCGCCGTTGTCCCCGGGGCTCAGGCGCAGCTCCAGGCTCCGCCCCCAGCCCGGGATTGGCTCCTGGAGGGCCCGGCCCTCCTGCGGGACCCATAGAGACCCATTGGGACCCATAGGGACACATAGAGAGACCCATTGGGACCCATAGAGAGACCCATTGGGACCCATAGGGACACATAGAGACCCATTGGAACCCATAGAGACCCATAGGAGCCATAGCGACCCATAGGAGCCATAGGGACCCATAGGACCCATAGGACCCATAGAGACACATAGGGATCCATAGGACCCATAGCGACCCATAGGAGCCATAGCGACCCATAGGACCCATAGGACCCATAGCAACCCCTAGGATCCATAGGGACCCATAGGGACCCATAGCACCCATAGGGACCCATAGAGACCCATAGGGACCCATAGGGACCCATAGGACCCATTGGGACCCATAGGGACCCTAACCCTAACCCAGTCCCTCCCAGTCCCCCCCATTGGCTCCCACCTTGCTCCAGACGAGGCGGGGGGGGGGGTGCCCCCCACGTGCGTAGCACCCCAACCGCACGAGCTCCCCCACCCGGAAGGAGGCGTTGGGGGGCGGGGCCTCGACCCACAGCGAATCGGGGGGGTCTGGGGGGGGGAATGGCCCCATTGATCCTCATTGACCCCCATTGATTCCCGTTAACCTCCATTGACCCCCATTGAGTCCCATTGATCCCCATTGAGTCCCATTGACCCACATTGAGTCCTATTGAGCCCCATTGACCCCCATTGAGTCCCATTGCGCCCCATTGCCACCCATTGATCCCTATTGACCGCCATTGAGCCCCATTGAACTCCATTGACCCCCTTTGATCCCCATTGACCCCCATTGCTCCCCATTGCCCCATTGATCCCCATTGATCCCCATTGACCCCATTGATCCCCATTGACCCCATTGACTGCATTGAGCCCTTTGATCCTCATTAATCCCCATTGACCCCCATTGATCCTCATTGACCCCCATTGACCCCCATTGAGCCCTATTGAACTCCATTGACCACCATTGACCCCCATTGATCCCCATTGCCCCTATTGACATCTGTTAAGCCCCATTGGCCCCCATTGACCCCATTGATCCCCACTGACCCCCACTGAGCCCCATTGAACTCCATTGATCCCCATTGCCCCCCATTGCCCCCACTGCCCCCCATTGCCGCCCTTGATCCCCATTGGCTCACGGGTGATGCTCAGAACGAGGCTGGCCCTGGCCACGCCCACCCCCGGCACCGCCGCCTCGCACACCAGGGGGCGCCCGTGCTCGCTGCGCCGCGCCACCAGCGTCAGGTTCGATGACGTCACCGTGCCCCCCCCGGGGGCCTGGGGGGGAATGGGGGGTCATTGACCCCCATTGACCTCCATTGAGCCCCATAGGCTCCCATAGACCCCGTAGACCTCCATTGACACCCATTGACCCCCATAGACCCCATAGACCCCATTCAGCCCCATTGAACCCCATTGACCCCCATTGACCCCATGGACCCCGATTGACCCCCATAGATTCCCCCATAGACCCCCGTTGACCTCATTGACCCCCATTGATCCCATTGACCCCATTGACCTCATTGACGCCCATTGACCACATCTACCCCATTGACCCCCATTGAGCCCCATTGATCCCATTGACCCCATGGACCCCCATAGATGCCCCCATAGATCCCCGTTGACCCCATTGACCGCACAGACCCCATTGACCCCCATTGATCCCATTGAGCCCCATTGACTGGATCGACCCCATTGGCCCCCATTGACCGGATCGACCCCATTGACCCCCATCGACCCCATTGACCCCATAGATGCCCCATTGACCTCCATCGACCCCATTGACCCCATAGATGCCCCATTGACCTCCATCGACCCCATTGACCCCATAGATGCCCCATTGACCCCCATCGACCCCATTGACCCCATAGATGCCCCATTGACCCCCATCGACCCCATTGACCCCATAGATGCCCCATTGACCCCCATCGACCCCATTGACCCCATAGATGCCCCATTGACCCCCATCGACCCCATTGACCCCATAGATGCCCCATTGACCTCCATCGACCCCATTGACCCCATAGATGCCCCATTGACCCCCATCGACCCCATTGACCCCATAGATGCCCCATTGACCTCCATCGACCCCATTGACCCCATAGATGCCCCATTGACCCCCATCGACCCCATTGACCCCATAGATGCCCCATTGACCCCCATCGACCCCATTGACCCCATAGATGCCCCATTGACCCCCATCGACCCCATTGACCCCATAGATGCCCCATTGACCTCCATCGACCCCATTGACCCCCATAGATGCCCCATTGACCCCATAGATGCCCCATTGACCCCATAGATGCCCCATTGACTCCCCCATTGCCCCCCATCGCCCCCCGCTCGCAGTCCTCCGGCCCGGCAGGGGGCGCACCGGCGCCGTGCTGCTCTCGCTGGCGCGCAGCTCCCTGCCCCCCAACCACCAGCGCAGGCGCGCGGGGGGGTTGCTGGGGGCGCTGGCGCACGTCAGGCTCAGGGACTCGTTCTCGGCGCCCCCCCGCGGCCCCACCAGCGTCACCTCCGAGGGGGGGTCTGGGACCCATGGAGACACGTTGGGACCCATAGGGAGCCATTGGGACCCATAGGGAGCCATTGGGACCAATTGGGACCCATTGGGACCCATAGGGAGCCATTGGGACCAATTGGGACCCATTGGGACCCATAGGGAGCCATTGGGACCCATAGGGAGCCATTGAGACCCATTGAGACCCATTGGGACCCATAGACCCCCATTGCCCCCCATTGACCCCCTTTGCTCCCCATTGTCCTCCATTGCTCCACATTGCCCCCATTGCCTCCCATTGTCCCCATTACCTCCATAGCCCCCATTACCCCATAGCCCCCCATTAAATGATTGCCCCCATTCCCCCCATACCCCCCATTACCCCCATAGCCCCCATTGCCCCCATTGCCCCCCATTACCCCCATTACCCCCATAGCCCCCCATTACCCCATTGCCCCCTATTACCCCCATTATCCCCATTCCCCCCCATACCCCCCATTACCCCCATAGGCCCCATTACCCCCCATTCCCCCCATAGCCCAAATTGCCCCCATTGCCCCCCATCACCTCATTGACCCCCATTACCCCTATTCCCTCCATCACCCCCCATTACCCCATAGCCCCCATTGCCCCCCATTCCCCCATAGCCCCATCGGCTCACAGGTCACGTGCAGGGTGACGCTGGCGCTCCCCCCGGCCGCCAGGGGGCGCTGTGTCTGCACGCGGCACCGCAGGGTGGCGCCGTCGTCCCCCCGGGTCACGGCCACCGCCAGGGGGCTCCGCGTCACCGCCAGGGGGCGCTGCGTCAGCCAGGGCGCTGCCAGCGGCCTCCCGTCCTGCAGGGGGCGCCCAGTGATGCCCAGTGATACCCATTGACCCCCATTGACACCCATTGATACCCATTGATACCCATTGACCCCCATTGACACCCATTGATACCCATTGACACCCATTGACCCCCATTGACACCCATTGATACCCATTGACACCCATTGACCCCCATTGACACCCATTGAGACCCGTTGAGACCCGTTGAGACCCATTAACCCCCATTGACACCCATTGATACCCATTGACACCCATTGACCCCCATTGACCCCCATTGACACCCATTGATACCCATTGACACCCATTGACCCCCATTGACACCCATTGATACCCATTGACACCCATTGACCCCCATTGACTCCCATTGATACCCATTGAGACCCATTGGCTCCCATTGACACCCATTGGCTCCCATTGACACCCATTGACACCCATTAGCTCCCATTGACACCCAGTGACACCCATTGACACCCATTGGCTCCCACTGACACCTGTTGACACCCAGTGACACCCATTGTGTCCCATTCACACCCATTGGCTCCCATTGACACCCATTGGCTTCCATTGGCTCCCATTGTCTCCCATTGACTCCCATTGGCTCCCATTACCCCCTTACCCCAATTGCCCCCATCAGTCCCATTACCCCCATTGCCCCATTACCCCTATTACCCCCATTGCCCCATTACCCCCATTACCCCATTACCCCCATTGCCCCCATTACCCCATTGCCCCCTATTACCCCCATTGCCCCATTACCCCCATTGCCCCATTACCCCCATTGCCCCCCATTACCCCATTGCCCCATTACCTTGTCCCAATGGAGGCTGGGGGGGGGGTTCCCCCCCCGCACGACGCACACCAGCTCCAGGGTGTCCCCCGCCCGCACGTGGGGCGAATCCAGGCCCTCGATGGTGGGGGGGCCCGGGGGGACTGGGGGCAATGGGTCACAATGGGGGGGATCCATTGGGGTCAATGGGGGGTTCAATGGGGTTCAATGGGGATCAATGGGGCTCAATGGGGTTCAATGGGGGTCAATGGGGTTCAATGGGGGTCAATGGTGGTTAATGGGGGTCGAAGTGGGTCAATGGGGTTCAATGGGATTCAATAGGGTTCAATGGGGTTCAATGGGGGTCAATGGGGGTCAATGGGGGTCAATGGGGGTGAATGGGGGTCAATGGGGGTCGATGGGTGCTCACAGAGGACGTCAAGGACGAGCGCGGCCTCGGTCGGGGCAGCCCCGGCCTCATTGGATGCGCTGCAGAGCAGGCGCTGTCCATGGTGCTGGCGCTGTGGGGTCAGCCTGGGGCAATGGGGGCAATGGGGGTCAATGGGGGGCAATGGGGGTCATTGTAAGTCAATGGGGTCAATGTGGGGCAATGGGGACAATGGGAGTCAATGGGGTCAATGGGGGGGCAATGGGGGTCATTGTAAGTCAATGGGGTCAATGGGGGGCAATGGGGGCAATAGGGGGCAATGGAGTCAATGGGATCCAATGGGGAACAATGGAGTCAATGGGGGGCAATGGGGGCGATGGGGGGTGATGGGGGTCAATGGGGGTCAATGGAGTCAATGGGGGTAAATGGGGGTCAATGGGCTTTAATGGGCCTCAATGGTCCATACTGGTCTATACTGGTTCATACTGATCCATACTGATCCATAATGTTCCATACTGGTCCATACTGATCCGTACTGGTCCGTACTGGTCTATACTGGTCCGTACTGGTCTATACTGGTCCATACTGGTCCATACTGGTCCGTACTGGTTCATACTGGTCCGTACTGGTTCATACTGTTCTATACTGGTCTATACTGGTCCATAATGTTCCATTCTGGTCCATACTGGTTTATACTGGTCTATACTGGTCTATACTGGTCTATACTGGTTTATACTGGTCTATACTGGTCTATACTGGTTTATACTGGTTTATACTGGTCCATACAGGTCTAGGGGGCGCTCACCTGACGGTGACTTCAGCACTGCTCAGTTTCGGGTGGGAGCCCTCGAAGATGCGGGGGGAGGCGTCGGGCAGCGGCTGCCCCCCTGTGCCAAAATCACCCTAAATCAGCCCAAAAGCAGCCCAAATCACCCCAAAACACCAAAAAACACCCGAAACACCCCAAAAATCACCCCAGAACACAAAAAATCACCCCAAAACACCTCGAAACCACCCCAAAATCACCCAAAACACCCCAAAATCAGCCAAAACCACCCTAAAATCAGCCAAAACCACCCTAAAATCACCCCAAATTAACCCCAAACACCACAAAACAGACCAAATCTCCCCAAACACCCCAAAATCCCCCAAAACACCCCAAAATCCCCCAAAACACCCCAAAATCAGCCAAAACCACCCTAAAATCAACCCAAATCAACCCCAAAAAAACCCAAAACAGACCAAATCTCCCCAAACACCCCAAAATCCCCCAAAACACCCCAAAATCAGCCAAAACACCCCAAAATCCCCCCAACCACCCCAAAATCACCCAAACACCCCAAAATCCCCCAAAACACCCCAAAATCAGCCAAAACCACCCTAAAATCACCCCAAATCAACCCCAAACACCACAAAACAGACCAAATCTCCCCAAACACCCCAAAATCACCCAAAACACCCCAAAATCACCCAAAACCAACCTAAAATCAACCCAAATCAACCCCAAACACCGAAAAACAGACCAAATCTCCCCAAACACCCCAAAATCCCCCAAAACACCCCAAAATCAGCCAAAACCACCCTAAAATCAACCCAAATCAACCCCAAACACCGCAAAACAGACCAAATCTCCCCAAACACCCCAAAATCCCCAAAACACCCCAAAATCAGCCAAAACACCCTAAAATAAACCCAAATCTCCCCAAACACCCCAAAATCTCCCCAAACACCCCAAAATCCCCAAAACACCCCAAAATCAGCCAAAACACCCTAAAATAAACCCAAATCTCCCCAAACACCCCAAAATCACCCAAACACCCCCAAATCAGCCAAAACACCCCAAAATCCCCCCAACCACCCCAAAATCTCCCAAAACACCCCAAAATCACCCGAAATGACCCAAACCAGACCAAAATTCACTCCCCTCCCCCCCAAATGACCCCAAATGACCCCAACCTCCCCCCCGCGTTGACGTCACCGAGCGTGAGAACGAGGCGCGGGGCGGGGCGTGCGTCGTGGGCGTGGCAGCGCACGTGCACCTCGGCCCCGCCCACCCACGGCAGCTCCGCCCCCGGCGGCAGCTCCAGCGCCGGCGGCCCCGGAGGCACTGGGGGGGGGGGGGACCTATAGAGCCCCATAGAGCCCCATAGAGCCCCCATAGAGTCCTATAGAGCCCCATAGAGCCCCTATAGAGCCCCTATAGAGCCCCATAGAGCCCCATAGAGCCCTATAGAGCCCCTATAGAGCCCCTATAGAGCCCCATAGAGCCCCATAGAGCCCCTATAGAGCCCCATAGAGCCCCATAGAGCCCCCATAGAGCCCCATAGAGCCCCATAGAGCCCCTATAGAGCCCCATAGAGCCCCATAGAGCCCCCATAGAGCCCCATAGAGCCCCTATAGAGCCCCATAGAGCCCCATAGAGCCCCCTCACCCATCACCCTCAGCCGGGCGCTCCGGGATGCGCGGGGGGGGCCGCTCTCCTCCCCTCCCCCCGCCTGACACTCGAAGGTGGCGTCATCCTCAAGCTCCACCCCCTCGATGCGGAGGTGGTACTGCCCTAGAGACCACGCCCCCTTTAAACCACGCCCCTTCAAACCGCGCCCCTCATTTAACCACACCCACCCAGACAAACCACCCCCACCCCTTTAAACCACGCCCCCATCCGTTTAAACCACGCCCACGCCTTCATACCACGCCCCTTAACCCACGCCCCTTTAAACCACGCCCACCCTTTTAAACCACGCCCGCCCCTTCAAACCACGCCCCCACCCCTTTAAACCACCCCCATCCCTTCAAATCACGCCCACCCCTTTAAACCACGCCCCCCCCACGGGTTAACCACGCCCACCTGTTAAAACCACGCCCCTTAACCCACGCCCTCTTTAACCACACCCCTCCTTAAACCACGCCCACCTCTTCAAACCACACCCTCACCTCTTTCTCAACCCCTTTAAACCACGCCCCTCATTGACCACGCCCACACAAACCACGCCCACCCCTTCAAACCCCTCCTCCATCACTTTAACCACGCCCCTCCTTAAACCACGCCCACCTCATCAAACCACACCCCCACCCCTTTAAACCACGCCCCCATCCCTTCAAACCACGCCCCCCTTCAAACCACGCCCCCCTCCCTTTAAACCCACGCCCCCTTTAAGCCCCGCCCACCTCGGCTCTGGTCCCCAGCCAATCGGTACCGCGGGTGGGCGGCGGTGGGCGGGGCCCCCAGGAGGAGCCCGTCCCGCGCCCACTGCGCGGCCACGCCCCCCCGCACGGCGCAGCGGAGCTCCGCCTCCCCGCCCAGCACCGCGCTCCCATTGGTCGGCTCCTCCACGAAGGGCGTGGCTGACGCTAGAAAGGGGGGGCGGGGCTTAGCGAGGCTCCGCCCACAACGGGGGGGGGCGGAGCCCACGTGGGATCGCTCACCTGTTACCCCGGCAACCAGCAGGGCCAATAGCGCCTCCGCAGAAGGGGTCAAAAGGTCACGCGGGGGCACGACCCCGATTGCCCCCCCCATAGACCCCCATTTACCCCCCATAGGACCCCATTTACCCCACATTTACCCCATAGACCCCCATTTACCCCCCATAGGACCCCATTTACCCCACATTCACCCCATAGACCCCCATTTACCCCCCATAGACCCCCATTTACCCCTCATTTACCCCATAGACCCCCATTTACCCCCCATAGGACCCCATTTACCCCTCATTTACCCCATAGACCCCCATTTACCCCCCATAGGACCCCATTTACCCCACATTCACCCCATAGACCCCCATTTACCCCCCATAGACCCCATTTACCCCCCATAGACCCCCATTTACCCCCCATAGGACCCCATTTACCCCACATTTACCCCATAGACCCCCATTTACCCCCCATAGGACCCCATTTACCCCACATTCACCCCATAGACCCCCATTTACCCCCCATAGACCCCCATTTACCCCTCATTTACCCCATAGACCCCCATTTACCCCCCATAGGACCCCATTTACCCCACATTTACCCCATAGACCCCCATTTACCCCCTGTAGAACCCCATTTACCCCTCATTTACCCCATTTACCCCTCATTTACCCCCATAGACCCCCATTTACCCCCCATAGGACCCCATTTACCCCACATTTACCCCATAGACCCCCATTTACCCCCCATAGGACCCCATTTACCCCACATTCACCCCATAGACCCCCATTTACCCCCCATAGACCCCCATTTACCCCTCATTTACCCCATAGACCCCCATTTACCCCCCATAGGACCCCATTTACCCCACATTTACCCCATAGACCCCCATTTACCCCCTGTAGAACCCCATTTACCCCTCATTTACCCCATTTACCCCTCATTTACCCCCATAGACCCCCATTTACCCCTCATAGACCCCCATTTACCCCACATTTACCCCCATAGACCCCCATTTATCCCCCATAGGACCCCATTTACCCCACATTTACCCCATAGACCCCCATTTACCCCCCATAGGACCCCATTTACCCCACATTTACCCCATAGACCCCCATTTACCCCCCATAGGACCCCATTTACCCCACATTTACCCCATAGACCCCCATTTACCCCCCATAGGACCCCATTTACCCCACATTTACCCCATAGACCCCCATTTACCCCCCATAGGACCCCATTTACCCCACATTTACCCCATAGACCCCCATTTACCCCCCATAGGACCCCATTTACCCCACATTTACCCCATAGACCCCCATTTACCCCCTGTAGAACCCCATTTACCCCATAGACCCCCATTTACCACCCGTAGAACCCCATTTACCCCACATTTACCCCCATAGACCCCCATTTACCCCCCATAGGACCCCATTTACCCCACATTTACCCCATAGACCCCATTTACCCCACATAGGACCCCATTTACCCCACATTTACCCCATAGACCCCCATTTACCCCCTGTAGAACCCCATTTACCCCACATTTACCCCATTTACCCCTATAGAACCCCATTTACCCCCTGTTTACCCCATAGGCCCCCATTACCCCCCCAATTGCCCCCCCATAGACCCCCATTTACCCCCCTAGCCCCCCATTTGGCCCCCGATTGCCCCCCAGGTCCCCATTTACCCCCTTAGACCCCCATTTAGCCCCAAATTTACCCCGCCAGACCCCCATAGACCCCCATAGCCCCCCGTTACCCCCCTATGTGCCCCATAGCCCCCATTTTACCCCCCCGATTGCCCCCCCTCCAACCCCCACCATGGTCTGGTCCGGTCTAGGGGGGGCCCCCCCACAGCGCTGGGTTCCCTATGGAGGGGGGCGGGGCTAAGGGTGGCCCCGCCCCTCGGCCGGGCGCTGATTGGCTGCTGAGGAATGCGGGGAATGCGGGGGGGGACGGGAATGGGAATGGATGGGGGGGCCCCCTATGGGGTACAGGGGCCAGAAAGAGCCCTATAGGGACCCATAGAACCCCTATAGGGACCCATGGCATCCACATAGGGACCCATAGCACCCCATTTGGACCCATAGCATCCACATAGTGACCCATAGCACCCCTATAGGGACCCATAGCATCCACATAGGGACCCATAGCACCCCTATAGGGACCCATAGCATCCACATAGGGACCCATAGCACCCCTATAGGGACACATAGCATCCACATAGGGACCGATAGCACCCCTATAGGGACCCATAGCATCCACATAGGGACCGATAGCACCCCTATAGGGACCCATGGCATCCACATAGGGACCCATAGCACCCCTATAGGGACCCATAGCACCCCATTGGGACCCATAGCACCCCCATTTGGACCCATAGCATCCACATAGTGACCCATAGCACCCCTATAGGGACCCATAGCATCCACATAGGACCCATAGCACCCCTATAGGGACCCATGGCATCCACATAGGGACCCATAGCACCCCTATAGGGACCCATAGCACCCCATTGGGACCCATAGCACCCCATTTGGACCCATAGCATCCACATAGTGACCCATAGCACCCCTATAGGGACCCATAGCATCCACATAGGGACCCATAGCACCCCTATAGGGACACATAGCATCCACATAGGGACCGATAGCACCCCTATAGGGACCCATAGCATCCACATAGTGACCCATAGCACCCCTATAGGGACCCATAGCATCCACATAGGGACCCATAGCACCCCATTGGGACCCATCGCATCCACATAGGGACCCATAGCACCCCTATAGGGACACATAGCATCCACATAGGGACCCATAGCACCCCTATAGGGACACATAGCATCCACATAGGGACCCATAGCACCCCATAGGGACCCATAGCACCCCCATAGGGTGCACTGTATCCCTATAGGGTCCCACAGTACCCCAAAGGGACCCACAGCACCCCCATAGGGACCCATACCATCCCTATAGGTACCCACAGTACCCCATAGGGACCCATAGCACTCCTATAGGGACCCATTGCACCCCCATAGAGACCCATCACCCCCCATTATCCCCTATAGGGCCCCCATTGTCCACTATAGGGACCCCATTACCCCCTGTGGGACCCCTATCACCCCTATAGGGACCCACAGCACCCCATAGGGACCCCAAACCCCCCATAGGGACCCACAGCACCCCATAGGGACCCCAGGGACCCACAGCACCCCATAGGGACCCCATACCCCCATAGGGACCCACAGCACCCCATAGGGACCCAAACCCCCCATAGGGACCCACAGCACCCCATAGGGACCCCAAACCCCCATAGGGACCCACAGCACCCCATAGGGACCCCAAACCCCCCATAGGGACCCATAGAGCGCCCTTTAGTCACGCCCCCTGTGGCTCCGCCTATCAGCGCCTTCCGCGCCCCTTTAGCCACGCCCTCCCGGGAGCACCGCCCACTCCCATTTAACCGCGCCCCCGTGGCTCCGCCAATCAGCGCTGCCAGCTCCCCTTTAGCCACGCCCCCCCCCGTGGCTCCGCATCCGCCTATAAGCATCGTCCTGGCCTCTTTAGCCCCGCCTCTGTGTCTCCGCCTATCAGCACCGCCCTCTCCCCTTTATCCCCGCCCCCGTTGCTCCGCCAATCAGCGCCGCCCGCGCCTCTTCAGCCACGCCCCGCGCGTCTCCTCCTATCAGCGCCATCCTCCCCGCTTTAGCAACGCCCCCCCGCCCCTTCTCCGCCAATCAGCGCCGCCCGCTCCCCTTTAGCCACGCCCCTCCCGCTGGCCTTCCCTCAGAGCGCCAAGATGGCGGCGGGCGGCGGAGCCTCCGCCGGGCCCGGCTCCGCTCCGGGCCGAGGCCGCTTCCCCGCGCGGCCTCCGCGGGGCCCGGCCCGGCCTCCCCCGGCCCCCAGGGCCCGGACCCCGCTCTTGGCCCCGCCGGGCCCCGCCGCCGGCTCCGATCCGACCCTCGCGGCCTTGCTGGGCCTGGCCGGGGGGCTCCGGCGCCTG